AGTCAATTATTGAGGAAAGTAAGTTTGCCGCTACGCGCAACAATGTTTTGAAAAATCAAAAAAATCAAAACGAAAATCAAATAAAATGTTTGAATGTTTGGAAATTTGAAAAAAAAAAGTGTTTTGATATTTTTAATATTTTTAAAAAATTATTCACGCTAAAAATATTTAAAATGTGTCGCGGTAAAGAAAAAACATCATCAGAATCATCATCACATTTATCGGAAACAAATTGTGCCAAGTTCCAATTTCCAATTTCTCAACACGAAACTCACGAATTACATATCCCAATTCCAACCGTTAAAGAAACACTTGACTTACTAGGCAACGAATATCCATTGGAAAAAGAGTTGAAGCCGTTTTTTTTGTTTTGTTCAATGATTGAAAAATCGATTAAAGAAGATAAGGAAATCACTGATAAAAAATGGGCTTTGAATAATGTTTATAAGGTTGGCAAAGAAATTTGGGATGGATTGGATAGAGAATACACGGATGAATATGAAAGATTATTGTCGAATGATGAAGTAATAAACAAACATGACAAACTTAAACCAATCGACAAATCAGAATAAAAAGACCACGTCTATGTCAGTTGATTGAATTCGATTTTATGAATTATTACCAAAATAAGAAAATACACAAATTATGCAGTCATTAAATATTAAATATTTATTATTATATGTCTTTGTAATAGTATGTTTCATTTTGATTTTTGATTTTTGATTTTTGATTTTTATTACATGTAAAAAACCCTCCTTAATCATAATATGCGTAAAAGTAATATTAATTATGAATTATAAGATTTTTTTCAAAAAATGGTTTTTAAATTTTCTCAATAAAAAAAAGCAAACTTCCTCATTAACATCTAATTAGCAAAAAATCAAAATATTCGATGTCTAAATAATCAAATTTATGAACGTAAAGGAAATAACAAAGTGGTTGCCAAATTTGGATTTTAAATTGAGGTGGACTGGTTACATTGCATCGGGTAATTTTCATCCGTGTACACCTTCTAAAATTCCGTCGAATTTCCATATTTGTTACTGCAACTTGTCGATGATTAGTTAGGCATCAAAAATTTTGAAAACGGTAGTAATAGTTCGTCTCAATACACTTTGATTAGGTTGAATGGAAATTAAAAAACAATAGAAAAAATGAACTATAAAAACATGAGGGTCGCTAGTGGTAGAAATACTCTGGAAATACTGATTTTAAAAAAAAAAGTCATTAATAAATCTTTTAATTCCTCGCTCACATATAAACAAAAAAATTATTATTGCTTTTTTCAATAATAAATAAAAATGAGTAATAATCAATCACCTTCCATTATTGCAAATTTATCTAATGGCAAAAACATTACTGTTCACGTACCTGATCTTGAAAAGGCACAAATACTTCTTAAAAATAATAATAACAACAACAACAATAATAATCCAAGTTCAGGTTCAGATTTACCAGGTCCTCAGCTGCTTTTCTACCTTGCTTTGTTAAATGAAATCGCACAACAAATTCCTATTTTTAATATTGATAATGCGGAATTGACAAAAGTTTTTGCTAATTCTTGGAGGAATTCCGGCACTGAATACACGGACGAATTTATTATTTTGGCAGACAAACTCGGACTCAATTAAATACCCAACTCGAAAGTTGGAAAATCGGTTAAAGTGATTAATTTTTTGGCAAACTATATTTAGAATTTTTTTTTTTTTTTTTTTTTTTGTGATCGTCTTTTTATTTGGGATGTTTCTTGTCAACCTCGCATCAAACATTTTTCGACAATTCGTTTAAAATCTTCCATACGATACATTCACAACGAATCGTAAAAACATAAAATTCGCAACAAACAGACAAACAAAAATAACTAATTTTTTAATCGTTGAATTTATTTCGAAACCATATCAAAAATAAATTTATTATTTTAATTATGACTTTAACTTTAAGATTTTAATTATGAACAATTCTATTTTATTTTTATTTTTTTTATTA